AAATAAAACGCATCTGTAGCACTCATCGCCAATATTTAATAAAAGCTTGGAATAAATATTGAAGACTTCGATTTATGATTCATCGTGAGATTGCACCGACAGTCAATATACCACCAAAACCCTTTACTGGTTTTGAATAAACGTAGAGGATTTCATTAGATGATTCCGACCGGGATCGAATCGGCGGCCTTCTGCGTGTTAAGCAGATGTGATAACCACTACACCACGGAACCTACAAAAATAAAACGCATTTGCAGCAATATTGAGGACATCGATGTAAGATTCATCATGAGATTGCACCGACAGTCAATAAACCACCAAAACCCTTTATTTGTTTTGATAAATATAGAAGATTCCATTAGATGATTCCGGCCGGGATCGAACCGGCGGCCTTCTGCGCTTTAAGCAGATGTGACAACCAATACACCACGAAACCTACAAACATATACCCCATTTGCAGCAATATTGAGGACATCGATGTCAGATTCATCATGAAATTGCACCGACAATCAATAAACCACCAAAACCCTTTATTGGTTTTGAATAAATGTAGAGGATTTCATTAGATGATTCCGGCCGGTATCGAACCGGCGGCCTTCTGCGTGTAAAACAGAAGTGATAACCACTACACCACGGAACCTACAAAAATAAAACGCATTTGTAGCACGCATCGCTAATATTTAATAAAAGCTCAGAAAAAATATTGAAGACTTTGATGTATGATTCATCGTGAGATTGCACCGACCGTCAATAAACTACCAAAAGCCTTTATTGGATTTGAATAAATATAGAGGATTTTATTATATGATTCCGGCCGGGATCGAACAGGCGGCCTATACCATGGAACCTACAAAATTAAATCTCATTTGCAGCAATATTGAGAACATCACTGTAAGATTCATCAATACAATCAATAAACCACCAAAACCCTTTATTCGTTTTGAATAAATCTAGAGGATTACATTAGATGATTCCGGCCGGGATCGAACCGGCGGCCTTCTGCGTGTAAAGCAGGTGTGATAACCACTACACCACGGAACCTACAAAAATAAAACGCATTTGCAGCACGCATCGCCAATCTATATATATAAAAGAGGATCGCTTTATGTTGTAACAATTATAACTCACGAACGGCTGAACCGATTTAGATGAAAATTGGCAGGGAGGTAGTTTAGAGCCAGAAGAAGGACATGAAATACTTTTTATCCCGTTTTTCATTCTAATTCAGAAATAATCATTTATAAACTATCCATGTAGTTTATTCAATCTATGATACTATCAATGATTTCATCCATGACATTTACAATCGATTGTCAACTGTCATTCGGTGTTTCTGTTTTGATACAAATATGCATTTATTATTATTATGAATTAATATGCATTTTTTAATCACTACTATTTGAAAATTATTACGTGAATAATATAAATTTTTTAATCACCACGGAAAATTAATACGAAGTGGCAAATAAATTAATTCTTAATAATAGCAAACGAAGCCAGATGGACGATGGGGAAATTTATTTCTTGAAAATGGGAATGTAATTATTCATATACTTAGGTATTTATGTATATTTGTTTATACGTATTTAAATAAAGTATTTGAGATGTTAATATTATATATATCAGCAATAAGTATAATCATCAACAAATTAATAAAAAAATATTTTGAAATATAGTTTCTTAACATAACCTCAAAATTTGTAATAAAAATGTAAATAGTTATATATTAATTGTTGTTAATTTCTAATTTCTTTATACATATCTTATACAATTTTTCAGGTGTTTACAACTAATTGGCATATATATTATCAGCAAATGTGCTTTGATTGGACAATAAAGAGTTGAAATTACTTGGCTGCCTTTTGTTAAATATAGTGATAGAATATTAATTCTTAGTTCTCATATATTATAACCCAGCTATAAACCTCACGGAGCCCCAGACCTTTCCAACGAATGCAAAATCGTCGAATTCGGTTCGTGTATTCTGGAGTTATATCGTCAGAAAGAAAAACCCGACTTATTTTTATGTAATAGATATATATATATAAAAGTCATGTTAATTACTCCACTTATAACTCAAGAAGGCTGAACCGATTTAACTGAAAATTGGCTTTGGTAAAGTTGGTAAAAGTTGGTAGTTCAGAGCCAGGCGAAGGACATAGGATACTTTTTATCCCGTTCAACTTGGAATAACAAAACGCAAATGACAGCTATGTAATCACGTATGGATGACAATTTGATATTTGTAGGAAATCAATAATATAATTATTTATTTTAAATAAATAATTAACAATTATAATATAATGATAGTGCCATTGCTCATTCGTATAAACAGTGAAGCGAACTATAAAATTCAGTATGGTTGACAAATCATATTTTTCTCAAACCACGATGCTCTGAAAGAACTCATTTGTATAATTATATACTCATTGGTATTTATAAAACATTTTCTAGATTATATTATTTATTTATTTATGTTATTTAAATTCAGAACCTAAATTTGGAATCGATCAAAGGTACATTTTGTCGAATGACTTATTCCCAGTTATAATGTCTCGAATTTATCGAAGAATGGATAGTAATATACAAAGATCTACGACCAAAGTGTCAAAAACCAGTAAAGCTAAGCATTGTTTAACAACACTATTTGAAAGTAAAGGGAAAAAGATGTATAACCAGCTATAATCTTGATTCTTATGACTTTGGTATTGGGAGATAAATGGTAATCTTTGAAAATCCATAATAGAAGTATTTTCTTCCGTTGGTAGTTTTTTAGCAATTAGTTAAAAATGTAATTATTTTGTAAAATACTTTTGAAATTAAAATATGACATTAGACCTGTTTGCCATCTGGCCATTCCAAGTAACACCGTTATAGGGTAAAAAGGTCTAGATAAAATTTTTAAAGACAGCAAAAAAAAACAAAATGATGATGCAGCTGGTAGTTTTACTGAACGTAGTCAGATAATTGTTCGTTTGAAATGTGTCATTTGTTGTGATATAATTGGTTTGATTTTCATAATAAAATTTATATTTGCTTAAAGTCAAATTGGACATTTGTGCCTTGCCCTGTTCTACATATATACTTTTTATTAAATTTACTTTAATTCGTCGAATGTTACTTGAAACTTTTCAAAAAGCAGGTCAAAGAAAAGATACCTAATTCATTTTCTATCTCTTCTCGCAGAAATTTGAAAACTTTGTATAAGCTCAATAGTATTATTTACAATTATACACAAAATCCAGAATCCAAAAAAAATTTTTGAAAAATTCGAAACACAATCAATAATCGATTAAATGGAATTTGTAATGACTATATAAGTCGAAAGACCAAAAAAGACTTGGAATGGATTATGCCATGTTTTCTATAGAAAGTGTATAAAACTTTCAGTTTGGATGTATTAATAAAATATAGACAAACTAATGGGGTTTATTGTTTCTATAATACCTCATTGTATATAGCATTCAAACAACACATCCTTACACAAAAAGTATTATTTTTTTTTGATTCTCTAGAAATTGTTTATAAAATACCTTACTTAGCAAAACAACGTTTGCCGGGTCAGCTAGTATTTAATAAAAGCTTAGAATAAATATTGAAGACTTCGATGTATGATTCATCGTGAGATTGCACCGACAGTCAATAAACCACCAAAAGCCTTCATTGGATTTGAATAAATATAGAGGATTTCATTAGATGATTCCGGCCGGGATCGAACCGGCGGCCTTCTGCGTGTAAAGCAGATGTGATAACCACTACGCCACGGAACCTACAAAAATAAAACCCATTTGCAGCAATATTGAAGACATCATGAGATTGCACCGACAATCAATAAACCACCAAAACCCTTCATTGGTTTTGAATATATGTAGAGGATTTCATTAGATGATTCCGGCCGGGATCGAACCGGCGGCCTTGGAACCTACAAAAATAAATCTCACTTGCAGCAATATTGAAGACATCACTGTAAGATTCATCATGAGATTGCACCGACAATCAATAAACCACCAAAACCCTTTATTCGTTTTGATAAATATAGAGGATTTCATTAGATGATTCCGGCCGGGATCGAACCGGTGACCTTCTGCGTGTAAAGCAGATGTGATAACCACTACACCACGAAACCTACAATAATATTTAATAAAAGCTTAGAATAAATATTGAAGACTTCGATGTATGATTCATCGTGAGATTGCACCGACAGTCAATATACCACCAAAACCCTTTATTGGTTTTGAATAAACGTAGAGGATTTCATTAGATGATTCCGACCGGGATCGAATTGGCGGCCTTCTGCGTGTTTAGCAGATGTGATAACCACTACACCACGGAACCTATAAAAATAAAACGCAATTGCAGCAATATTGAAGACATCGATGTAAGATTCATCATGAGATTGCACCGACAATCAATAAACCACCAAAACCCTTTATTTGTTTTGATAAATATAGAAGATTCCAGTAGATGATTCCGGCCGGGATCGAACCGGCGGCCTTCTGCGCTTTAAGCAGATGTGACAACCACTACACCACGAAACCTACAAACATAAACTCCATTTGCAGCAATATTGAGGACATCGATGTCAGATTCATCATGAAGTTGCACCGACAATCAATAAACCACCAAAACCCTTTATTCGTTTTGATAAGTATAGTGGATTTTATAAGATGATTCAGGCCGGGACCGAACCGGCGGCCTTCTGCGTGTTAAGCAGATGTGATAACCACTACACCACAAAACGTACAAAAATAAAACGCATTTGCAGCAGGCATCGCCAATATTTAATAAAAGCTTAGAATAAATATTGAAGACTTCGATGTATTATTCATCGTGATATTGTTAGTGTGTCAATAGACCACCAAAACCCTTTATTGGTTTTGAATAAATGTAGAGGATTTCAGTAGATGATTACGGCCGGGATCGATCGTTGTATTGATAGTGGTCAATGGACCACCAAAACCCTTTATTGGTTTTGAATAAATGTAGAGGCTTTCATTAGATGATTCCGGCCGGGATCGAACCGGCGGCCTTCTGCGTGTAAAACAGATGTGATAACCAATACTCCACCGAACCTACAAAAATAAAACGCATTTGTAGCACGCATCGCCAATATTTAATAAAAGCTCAGAATAAATATTGAAGACTTCGATGTATGATTCATCGTGAAATTGCACCGACAGTCAATAAACCACCAAAAATTTACATTGGTTTTGAACTAATATAGAGGATTTCATTATATGATTCCGGCCGGGATCGAACCGGCGGCCTTCTGCGTGTAAAGCAGATGTGATAACCACTACACCACGGAACCTACAAAAATAAAACGCATTTGCAGCACGCATCGCCAATATTTAATAAAAGCTTAGAATAAATATTGAAGACTTCGATGTATGATTCATCGTGAGATTGCACCGACAGTCAATAAACCACCAAAAGCCTTTATTGGATTTGAATAAGTATAGAGGATTTCATTATATGATTCCGGCCGGGATAGAATCGGCGGCCTTCTGCGTGTTAAGCAGATGTGATAACCACTACACCACGCAACCTACAAAAATAAAACGCATTTGCAGCAATATTGAGGACATCGATGTAAGATTCATCATGAGATTGCGCCGACAATCAATAAATCTCCAAAACTTCATTAGATGATTCCGGCCGGGATCGAACCGGCGGTCTTCTGCGTGTAAAGCAGATGTGATAACCACTACACCACGGAACCTACAAAAATAAAACCCATTTGCAGCAATATTGAGGACATCATGAGATTGCGCCGACAATCAATAAACCACCAAAACCCTTTATTGGTTTTGAATATATGTAGAGGATTTTATTAGATGATTCCGGCCGGGATCGAACCGGCGGCCTCGGAACCTACAAAAATAAATATCATTTGCAGCAATATTGATGACATCACTGTAAGATTCATCATGAGATTGCACCGACAATCAATAAACCACCAAATCGTAGGTAGGTAGAGTAAAGGTAAAGGTAGAGCACCAGATATAGGTAGAGTAAAGATAAAGGTAGAGCACCATATATAGGTAGAGTAAAGGTAAAGGTAGAGCACCAGATATAGGTAGAGTAAAGGTAAAGGTAGAGCACCAGATATAGGTAGAGTAAAGGTAAAGGTAGAGCACCATATATAGGTAGAGTAAAGGTAAAGGTAGAGCACCAGATATAGGTAGAGTAAAGGTAAAGGTAGAGCACCAGATATAAGTAGAGTAAAGGTAAAGGTAGAGCACCAGATATAGGTAGAGTAAAGGTAAAGGTAGAGCACCAGATATAGGTAGAGTAAAGATAAAGGTAGAGCACCATATATAGGTAGAGTAAAGGTAAAGGTAGAGCACCAGATATAGGTAGAGTAAAGATAAAGATAGAGCATTAGATATAGGAAGAGTAAAGGTAAAGGTAGAGCACCATATATAGGTAGAGTAAAGGTAAAGGTAGAGCACCAGATATAGGTAGATTAAAGGTAAAGGTAGAGCACCAGATATAGGTAGAGTAAAGGTAAAGGTAGAGCACCAGATATAGGTAGAGTAAAGGTAAAGGTAGAGCACCAGATATAGGTAGAGGTACATTAAAGGTAAATGTAAGGCACAATATATAGGTAAAGCACCATATATAGGTAGAGGTAAATTAAAGGTAAATGTAAGGCACAATAAATAGGTAGAGGTGAATTAAAGGTAAATGTAAGGCACAATATATAGGTAAAGCACCATATATAGGTAGAGGTAAATTAAAGGTAAAAGTAAGGCACAATATATAGGTAAAGCACCATATATAGGTAGAGGTAAATTAAAGGTAAATGTAAGGCACAATATATAGGTAAAGCACCATATATAGGTAGAGGTAAAGGTAAATGTAAGGCACGATATATAGGTAAAGCACCATATATAGGCAGAGGTAAATTAAAGGTAAATGTAAGGCACAATATATAGGTAGAGGTAAATTAAAGGTAAATGTAAGGCACAATATATAGGTAAAGCACCATATATAGGTAGAGGTAAATTAAAGGTAAATGTAAGGCACAATATTGCGGTAAAGCACCATATATAGGTAGAGGTAAATTAAAGGTAAATGTAAGGCACAATATATAGGTAAAGCACCATATATAGGTAGAGGTAAATTAAAGGTAAATGTAAGGCACAATATATAGGTAAAGCACCATATATAGGTAGAGGTAAATTAAAGGTAAATGTGAGACACAATATATAGGTAAAGCACCATATATAGGTAGAGGTAAATTAAAGGTAAATGAAAGGCACAATATATAGGTAAAGCACCATATATAGGTAGAGGTAAATTAAAGGTAAATGCAAGGCACAATATATAGGTAAAGCACCATATATAGGTAGAGGTAAAGGTAAATGTAAGGCACGATATATAGGTAAAGCACTGTATATAGGTAGAGGTGAATTGAAGGTAAATGTAAGGCACAATGTATAGGTAAAGCACCATATATAGGTAGAGGTGAATTAAAGGTAAATGTAAGGCACAATGTATAGGCAAAGCACCATATATAGGTAGAGGTAAAGGTAAATGTAAGGCACGATATATAGGTAAAGCACCATATATAGGTAGAGGTAAATTAAAGGTAAATGTAAGGCACAATATATAGGTAAAGCACCATATATAGGTAGAGGTAAATTTAAATGTAAGGCACGATATATAGGTAAAGCACCATATATAGGTAGAGGTAAATTAAAGGTGAATGTAAGGCACAATATATAGGTAAAGCACCATACATAGGTAGAGGTAAATTAAAGGTAAATGTAAGGCACAATATATAGGTAAAGCACCATATATAGGTAGAGGTAAATTAAAGGTAAATGTAAGGCACAATATATAGGTAAAGCACCATATATAGGTAGAGGTAAATTAAAGGTAAATGTAAGGCACAATATATAGGTAAAACACCATATATAGGTAGAGGTAAATTAAAGGTAAATGTAAAGCACAATGTATAGGTAAAGCACCATATATAGGTAGAGGTAAAGGTAAATGTAAGGCATGATATATAGGTAAAGCACCATATGTAGGTAGAGGTAAAGGTAAATGTAAGTCACGATATATAGGTAAAGCACCGTATATAGGTAAAGGTAAATTAAAGGTAAATGTAAGGCACAATATATAGGTAAAGCACCATATGTAGGTAGAAGTAAAGTGAAGGTAAATGTAATGCAAAATATATAGGTAAACCACTATATATAGGTAGAGCTAGAGTATAGGTAAAGGTATATATATATATATATATATATATATATATATAAGAATAAAAATAATCAATAAGCCAACGTTGTTTATACATGTTTGAATAAAATGCTCCCCGATGTCACATTGCTAGAGCGGGGATTCGAACGACCAACTCTATGCATACAAAGTCAACGCGTTAACGATCTTCGCCACGACAAATACATATGCACAGTTACAACAAATCCATATATATATATATATATATATATATATATATATACTAGGTGACCCGGCAAACGTTGTTTTGCTAAATAAGGTATATTCTAAACAATTTCTAGAGAATCAAATATATTAATACTTTCAGTGTATAGGGATGTGTTGTTTGAATGCTATATACAATGGGATATTATAAAAACAATAAACCCCATTAGTTTGTCTATATTTTGTCAATACAATCAATCTGAAAGTTTTATACACTTTCTATAGAAAACATGGTATAATCCAATCCAAGTCTTTTTCGGTTTTTCCACTTATTGATTACGTTTCAAGTTTTTCAGATTCTTTTTGGATTCTGGATTTTGTGTATAATTGTAAATAATACCACTGAGCTTATACAAAATTTTCAAATTTCTGCGAGGAGAGATAGAAAATGAATTAAGTATTTCTTCAAATTTTACTTTCAGCAAATATAAACTATATTGTGAAAACCGTAACAATTATATCACAACAATTAACACATATCAAACGAACAATTATAAGAATGAAAATAATCAATAATTAATAAAGTTATTAGATTAGATAAAATGCTTCCCGTTGCCCGATTGCCAGAGCGGGGATTCGAACGTACAACACTATCCATACAAAGTCAACACGCTAACGATCTCAGCTACGACAAATAAATACATGTAATTTCTACATCCATATATATATGATAGCAATGAACTTTAAAAAATATATGCGATTGAAAAATATATTAATTGAACACAGTTCGCCATCTATATTGAATTTGGAGAACACTAAAACAGAATAAAGCTAATTTGTTCTGTAAGAGGGCGTCCATTAATCACGTGAGGCTTTCAAGGGGCGGGAGAGTTTAAAATATCACGTATAGTAAGGCGTATAGTAAGATATCACGTGTATTTATTTTGTACCTGATTTTTTTAGAAAAATCCAAACATTTTCAAAAAAAAAATCCAAAAATTTTACAATTTCTTCAAGTAACTATGATTTCAAGTAACCTATGATTTTCTTAAAAAATATTATACTCTTAAAAACTCACCCAGAAATTAACTGCAATCTGGAACTAGAACTTTGTCCACAAAATACTTCCAAACACTCACTACTACTTCGAACAAAACTAAAACACTTCTCAACACAATTTTTTTTTCAAACAACCTTCCACCTTGTGCACGACACCAAAGACTGATCTACTTTTCAAGACCACCCATAAGTATTAAAAATATTACATAAACCTAAACAAACAAATGTCTGATTCTAAATAACTTTTTTTTATTTGCACTTCTTGAACCGAATTTAGAATCATGCGTTGTTCGTTACCCATTAATTTGTCATATTTACAATTTTCAAAATCATTGAACAAACACAATCGAAAAGTGATAAAAACTTATCTCTTGAATTATCACGTAAAATTTATATGTTATAGTAAAGTGATAATAATAGAATAAATATGGAAAAATGAAATTCATCGTATCGATAGTAATAGATAAAAAAATTCGTCGTATGTAGGTCAAAAAATTTTATATCGATTAGATTTTTCGGCAAGTTTTGCGTAAATTGTACGGTACCTTTTTTTTCAATTCACTTTTTTGCATTTCACTTCACTTCACTTAAATTAACTTAAATCTTCAGGCAACGAA